GCCCGTACCTTGGGAAGTCTGACTTGGCCACGGTGGTCCACGCTTTGGTTACATCCCGTTTAGACTACTGCAACGCTCTCTACGTGGGGTTGCCTCTGAAGACTGCCTGGAAGCTGCAGCTAGTCCAACGCTCGGCAGCCAGACTACTAACGGGTGCTGGGTACAGGGAGCACACCACTCCGCTGTTACACCAGCTCCACTGGCTGCCAATTAGCTTCCGAGCACAATTCAAAGTGCTGGTGTTAACCTATAAAGCCCTAAACGACTCCGGCCCGGTTTACCTCTCCGAACGTATTCTCCCCTACGAACCATCAAGATTACTAAGATCGTCTGGAGGGGCCCTGCTCTCGGTCCCACCGGCCTCACAAGCGCGTCTGGTGGGGACGAGGGACAGGGCCTTCTCGGTGGTGGCCCCTCGACTCTGGAACTCTCTCCCACTGGAGATCAGAACCGCCCCTTCTATCCTGACATTTAGGAAACAGGTGAAGACTTGGTTATGGAGACAGGCATTCGATGAGTGAGCCAACACCCTGAGATATGGATGGAGGAGGATGAGCAACGATTTTAGTGTGACAACTGACCATTGTAGTTATTGAATGTAATTGCTGTTTTAATGTTTGACTGTAATATGAATTATAATGTTTTATTGATTGTATGTGATATTATGGTTGGAAACCGGTCTGAGTCCCTCAAGAGAGGTGAAAAGGTCTGTATATAAAACTTTTAAATAAATAAATAAATATGCTATTAAATATTTTCATCCACCTTGTTGAACCAATTACTCTTCAATCAGACCATATTTTGATCTCTCCCCCCCCTTAGTTCTTTTGTTGCTTGATGCTTGTCTATTATTGTTATGTTTGTTTTATGCTTTTAAATTGTATTTTATTTATTTATTTACTTTGCTTCTATACGGCTGTATCTCAAGCCCGAAGGCGACTCACAGCGGTTCACAAACAGTAGAAACAGTAGAAACAGCAGTGGTTCCATACAACATATAACAATTGACTTAACACATTATCCATAAATTACCAATCAGCAATTACAATGCACAATTATTACGAAAAACAACCGTACCCAATCTTCTCATCATCCAAGCGTAGTCCAGGTTCGTCGTTGTCCCTTGTTCCATTCCTATGTTCCATTACCAGATTGCACTAAATTACTCAAACGCCTGCACAAACATCCAGGTCTTCACCTTTTTGCGGAATACCATTAGAGAGTATTTTGTTATTGCTCTGCTTTTAATTGTCTATTCCCTGGGCTTGGCCCCATGTAAGCCGCCCTGAGTCCCTTCAGGGAGATGGAGGCGGGGTAGAAAAATAAAGTTCTCCTTCTCCTCACAGAGAGAGGGGGTGAACCATTATCCTTAAGCCCAGCAGGAATATTCTCTTGAGAAACTGCCCTTTGCACTGAGGCCTCTCTGTCATTGTCTGCATGAAAATCATTGACCAAACCGCCTCCATCTTGCATCTCAGCCCCATCATTTCTCTCATCATTTCCCACATCAGGATCCTGAAACACAGGCTGATTCTCAACAGTCAGGTGTTTTCTCCCCCACCCCCGTCCATAAAAATGGTTGGGTTTCGTTTACATAAACTTTAGTTTCCAGTGAAAGGGACTGGCCCTTGCTCAGGGGTGGATGAAGGGCCCCCACGCCAACCCAAGCCAAGTTAGATAATGGACGGGACAAGGGTGCGTTTGTGTGTGTGAAGCCTTCTGCAATGGGATCTTGACTCTGGGATCCAGGTTCGAATCCTTGTTTCAAAGTTTGCAGATGTGAAATGGTATTGCAATGTGTTTTACATAAGCTGCTTTGAGTCTCCTTGGGGAGAGAAAGTGCAGGGTGGAAATAAACAACAACAACAACAACATAATTGTAATCTATATAAATAAAAATGTAAATTTCGTTTGTGGGATTAACAGAACTCAAAAACTACTGGATGAATTGACACCAAATTTGGACACTACACCCCTAACAGACTGAGTGACCCTCACTCGTAACCCCCCCCCAAAAAAAAAAAACTAGTGGAAAGGACTTAAAAACCCCAAAAAGCTAAATGATGAAAAGCTAAATGACGATACAGAAAAAAGGGAGTGAAGGAAGGGGAGAAAGAAAGGAAGGGGGGGAAAGGAAGGAGAGAAAGAGGGAGGGAAAGAAAGAAAGGAAGAGAGAGAGAAGGAAGCATGGAAGCAAAGAGCAAAGGAAGGAAAGAAGTYGAGAAGGAAGAAAGGAGAGAAAGAGAAAGGAAACGAAAAAGGGGGAAGGAAAGAAAGAAGGACAGAAAAAAGGAAAGGAAGGAAAGAGGGAGTGAAGGAAGGAAAGAAGCAGAAAAAGAGGGAAGGAAAGAAGGAAAGAGAAGGAAGCAAAAAGCAAAYGAAGGAAAGAGGTAGAGAAGAAAGGAKGGAAAGAAAGGTAGAGAAGGAAGGAGAGAAGGACATAAAAAAGGAAAGAAAGAGGGAGCAAAGGAAGGAGGGAAAGAAGCATACAAAAGAGAAAGGGAAAGAAGGGAAGAGAGAAGGAAGGATGGAGGCAAAGATCTAAGGAAGGAAGGAAAAGTAGAGAAGGAAGAAAGAGAAAGAAGGAAGGAAAATAAACGGGAAGGAAAGAAAGAGGTAGAGAAGGAAGGAAGGAGAAAAGGAAAGAAGGAAAGGAAGGAAAGAGGGAGCGAAGGAAGGAGGGAAAGAAGGAGAAAAAAAGGGAGGAAGGTTGGCCACAGCAACACATGGCAGGGAACAGCTAGTCTATATAAATAAAAATGTAATGTTTGTTTGTGGGATTACCATAACTCACAAACCACTGGACGAATGGACACCAAATTTGGACACAAGGCACCTTTCAGGCCAACGAGTGACCATCACTCATAACAACACGGAAAAACATAGCGGAAGAGACTTAAAAAGCCAAAAAATAAAAAATACATTACAATGCATTCGCAAAACCACATGTATACACATGTACAAAAATATACAGACACACATATACAAGACTCGGCCACAGCAACATGTGGCAGGGGACGGCTAGTATATAATAACAATGGTGATGATCCCTTCTCAGCCCTGGAAACCCTCTGGGAGTCCTTGGGCAAGTCACACTCTCTCAGCCTCAGAGGAAGGCCATGGGACACAACCTCCTTGTAATCAGTCTTTACAAGAAAAGCCTACAATTGGGTGGCCATAAGCCAGAAACTCCCAGATTCCGACAGCAAAGCCGTGGAGGCTTTTAAACAGAAGCTGGATGGTCATCTGCCAGGGGTGCTTCGATTGGGTTTTTCCTGTATGAAGGCAGAAGGGGGTTGTACTAGATGACCTTTGGGGGTCTCTTCCAACTATAGGAGTCTAATAATAATAATAATAATAATAATAATAATAATAATAATAATAATAATAATGGATAATAACATAGCTGGATATCTGTTGTGGATACCTTGATTGTGCTTTTCTGGCATAATGGGGGTTTGGACTAGATGACCTTTGGGGGTCTCTTCCAACTCTAGGAGTCTAATAATAATAATAATAATCATCATCATCATCCTTCCTTGGAGGCTTTTAGACAGAGGCTAGATAGACTAGATGGCCTTTGGGGGTCCCTTCCAACTCTAGGATTCTATTATTATTATTGTTATTATTTTACTGACACAAAAGCACAGTATGTCACAGCAAATGAGAGCTATATGCTGGATTTCGTATCACAAAATCAAAATGTCAAACACTTCCCAAACATTTAGGACTGTGCAATGTATTTTTGAATAATAATAATAATAATAATAATAATAATAATAATAATAAGGCAGATACTGGATGGCCATCTGTTGGAGGTGCTTTGATTGTGCTTTTCCTGCATGGCAGACAGAATGGGGTTGGACTAGATAACCTTTGGGGGTCCCTTCCAACTCTAGGAGTTGAATACTGTAATAATAACAATGGATAATAACATAGCTGGATGGCCATCTGTTGGGGATGCTTTGATTGTGCTTTTCCTAGATAATGGCAGACAGAATGGGGTTGGACTAGATGACCTTTGGGGGATCCCTTCCAAATCTAGGAGTTGAATACTGTAATAATAATAATAATAATAATAATAATAATAATAATAATAATAATGGATACTAACATAGCTGGATGGCCATCTGTTGGGGATGCTTTGATTGTGCTTTTCCCAGATAATGGCAGACAGAATGGGGTTGGACTAGATGACCTTTGGGGATCCCTTCCAAATCTAGGAGTTGAATACTGTAATAATAATAATAATAATAATAATAATAATAATAATAATAATAATGGATAATAACATAGCTGGATGGCCATCTGTTGGGTATGCTTTGATTGTGCTTTTCCTCCATGGCAGAAGGGGGTTATTATTATTATTATTATTATTATTATTATTATTATTATTACTATTATTATTACAAAGGCTGGATGGCCTTCTGTTGGGGGTGATTTGATTGTGCTTTCCCCAAATAATGCCAGACAGCAGGGGGTTGGACTAGATGGCCTTTGGGGGTCCCTCCCAACTCTAGGAGTCTAATACCATAATAATAATAATAATAATAATAATAATAATAATAATAATAATAATAATACTGGATCATAACATAGCTGGCTGACCATCTGTTGGGAGTGCTTTGATTGTGCTTTTCCTGCATGGCAGAATAGGGTTGGACTAGATGGCCTTTGGGGGTCCCTTCCCTGACTCTGTGACCCTCTGACCACACGAAGCCAAGGGGAGGAAGGAGTGTCCTGGCACCAGGAGAGAAAACCAGAGGTCAGTGCAGATAAGGCTTGTGTTTGCAGAAGGGATTGGCTTGCAAGTGGCTTGTCCGCACCCATGGCAGGGTGGACACTGTGTCCGGAGCGATTGGCCAAGACCCTTCTCGGCCCTTTGATGCGGCCACGGGTGCCACCACACACCTCCCTTGTGCCCACCCCTGAGAAGGCCACCCCATTGGCCGCGCACAAGGTCCAGTCCCTGGTGCCAGTATAAAGCCTTGGGCAGGGCCTTGAGCTGGCCATTGCTGGCTGCCGCAATGGTCAAGCTTGTGGTCAGCGTCCTGGCTGGGCTGGCGCTCCTGCTTTCGGGGTCCCTGGGGGACTCCACCCCTCTACCGGACTACGGCTCTGTGGCCAGGGTCCACAATGGGGGGCAAAGAGGCAAATGGGGCTCGGTGGACAGGTGCCCCACGGGGAGCTTCGCCACCGGGTTCCAACAAAAGGTAAGGCGGTCTCACCTGGAGAGGAAGGAAGGAAGGAAAGAGGGAAGGGGCCCTCGTGGGGGCCCTCGTGGGGTCCAGAGGGGTCCACGGCAGTAGTGCAAACTCACCAGCCAAAGAGAGAGTTCGGACGAGGTGAAAGTCCACAGGTCCCCTTGACCTTAATAATTCCTCCCTTTTTGGGGCAAGGTGACCAAGAAGGCCGCTGTCCTTCAACTCCAGGCGCACACGCACTTTCTTGACCCATTTCAAATGGGCTTCAGAGCAGGAGATCATCCATAGAGGTGTGCTGATGTATGCCGATGACACCCACATCTATGCCTCTCACATGAAGCCAATGGGTGAGATCCTCCACAGGCATGGGGAGGGGTGTGCTGATATATGCTGATGACGCCCAAATCTATGCCTCTCACATGAAACCAATGGGAGAGATCCTCCACAGGCATGGGGAGGGATATGCTGATGTACGCTGATGACGCCCAAATCTATGCCTCTTGCATGAAGCCAATGGGAAATATCATCCGCAGGCATGGGGAGGGATATGCTGATGTACGCTGATGACACCCAAATCTATGCCTCTCACATGAAGCCAATGGGAGAGATCCTCCACAGGCATGGGGAGGGATATGCTGATGTACGCTGATGACGCCCAAAACTATGCCTCTCGCATGAAGCCAATGGGAAATATCATCCACAGGCTTGGGGAGGGTGTGCTGATATATGCTGATGATGCCCAAATCTATGCCTCTCGCATGAAGCCAATGGGAGAGATCATCTGCAGGCATGGGGAGGGGTGTGCTGATGTACGCTGATGACGCCCAAAGCTATGCCTCTCACATGAAGCCAATGGGAGAGATCCTCCACAGGCATGGGGAGGGATATGCTGATGTATGCTGATGACGCCCAAAACTATGCCTCTCGCATGAAGCCAATGGGAAATATCATCCACAGGCTTGGGGAGGGTGTGCTGATATATGCTGATGACGCCCAAATCTATGCCTCTCGCATGAAGCCAATGGGAAATATCATCCACAGGCTTGGGGAGGGTGTGCTGATATATGCTGATGATGCCCAAATCTATGCCTCTCGCATGAAGCCAATGGGAGAGATCCTCCACAGGCATGGGGAGGGGTGTGCTGATGTACGCTGATGACGCCCAAAGCTATGCCTCTCACATGAAGCCAATGGGAGAGATCCTCCACAGGCATGGGGAGGGGTGTACTGATGTATGCTGATGACGCCCAAAACTATGCCTCTCGCATGAAGCCAATGGGAAATATCATCCACAGGCTTGGGGAGGGGTGTGCTGATATATGCTGATGACGCCCAAATCTATGCCTCTCACATTAAGCCAATGGGAGAGATCATCTGCAGGCATGGGGAGGGGTGTGCTGATGTATGCTGATGACGCCCAAATCTATGCCTCTCACATTAAGCCAATGGGTGAGATCCTCCACAGGCATGGGGAGGGGTGTGCTGATATATGCTGATGACGCCCAAATCTATGCCTCTCACATGAAACCAATGGGAGAGATCCTCCACAGGCATGGGGAGGGATATGCTGATGTACGCTGATGACGCCCAAATCTATGCCTCTTGCATGAAGCCAATGGGAAATATCATCCGCAGGCATGGGGAGGGATATGCTGATGTACGCTGATGACACCCAAATCTATGCCTCTCACATGAAGCCAATGGGAGAGATCCTCCACAGGCATGGGGAGGGATATGCTGATGTACGCTGATGACGCCCAAAACTATGCCTCTCGCATGAAGCCAATGGGAAATATCATCCACAGGCTTGGGGAGGGTGTGCTGATATATGCTGATGATGCCCAAATCTATGCCTCTCGCATGAAGCCAATGGGAGAGATCATCTGCAGGCATGGGGAGGGGTGTGCTGATGTACGCTGATGACGCCCAAAGCTATGCCTCTCACATGAAGCCAATGGGAGAGATCCTCCACAGGCATGGGGAGGGATATGCTGATGTATGCTGATGACGCCCAAAACTATGCCTCTCGCATGAAGCCAATGGGAAATATCATCCACAGGCTTGGGGAGGGTGTGCTGATATATGCTGATGATGCCCAAATCTATGCCTCTCGCATGAAGCCAATGGGAGAGATCCTCCACAGGCATGGGGAGGGGTGTGCTGATGTACGCTGATGACGCCCAAAGCTATGCCTCTCACATGAAGCCAATGGGAGAGATCCTCCACAGGCATGGGGAGGGGTGTACTGATGTATGCTGATGACGCCCAAAACTATGCCTCTCGCATGAAGCCAATGGGAAATATCATCCACAGGCTTGGGGAGGGGTGTGCTGATATATGCTGATGACGCCCAAATCTATGCCTCTCACATGAAGCCAATGGGAGAGATCCTCCACAGGCATGGGGAGGGGTGTGCTGATATATGCTGATGACGCCCAAATCTATGCCTCTCACATTAAGCCAATGGGTGAGATCCTCCACAGGCATGGGGAGGGGTGTGCTGATATATGCTGATGACGCCCAAATCTATGCCTCTCACATGAAGCCAATGGGAGAGATCCTCCACAGGCATGGGGAGGGATATGCTGATGTACGCTGATGACGCCCAAATCTATGCCTCTTGCATGAAGCCAATGGGAAATATCATCCGCAGGCATGGGGAGGGATATGCTGATGTACGCTGATGACACCCAAATCTATGCCTCTCACATGAAGCCAATGGGAGAGATCCTCCACAGGCATGGGGAGGGATATGCTGATGTACGCTGATGACGCCCAAAACTATGCCTCTCGCATGAAGCCAATGGGAAATATCATCCACAGGCTTGGGGAGGGTGTGCTGATATATGCTGATGATGCCCAAATCTATGCCTCTCGCATGAAGCCAATGGGAGAGATCATCTGCAGGCATGGGGAGGGGTGTGCTGATGTACGCTGATGACGCCCAAAGCTATGCCTCTCACATGAAGCCAATGGGAGAGATCCTCCACAGGCATGGGGAGGGATATGCTGATGTATGCTGATGACGCCCAAAACTATGCCTCTCGCATGAAGCCAATGGGAAATATCATCCACAGGCTTGGGGAGGGGTGTGCTGATATATGCTGATGACGCCCAAATCTATGCCTCTCGCATGAAGCCAATGGGAAATATCATCCACAGGCTTGGGGAGGGTGTGCTGATATATGCTGATGATGCCCAAATCTATGCCTCTCGCATGAAGCCAATGGGAGAGATCCTCCACAGGCATGGGGAGGGGTGTGCTGATGTACGCTGATGACGCCCAAAGCTATGCCTCTCACATGAAGCCAATGGGAGAGATCCTCCACAGGCATGGGGAGGGGTGTACTGATGTATGCTGATGACGCCCAAAACTATGCCTCTCGCATGAAGCCAATGGGAAATATCATCCACAGGCTTGGGGAGGGTGTGCTGATATATGCTGATGATGCCCAAATCTATGCCTCTCACATTAAGCCAATGGGTGAGATCCTCCACAGGCATGGGGAGGGGTGTGCTGATATATGCTGATGACGCCCAAATCTATGCCTCTCACATTAAGCCAATGGGTGAGATCCTCCACAGGCATGGGGAGGGGTGTGCTGATATATGCTGATGACGCCCAAATCTATGCCTCTCACATGAAGCCAATGGGAGAGATCCTCCACAGGCATGGGGAGGGATATGCTGATGTACGCTGATGACGCCCAAAACTATGCCTCTCGCATGAAGCCAATGGGAAATATCATCCACAGGCTTGGGGAGGGTGTGCTGATATATGCTGATGATGCCCAAATCTATGCCTCTCGCATGAAGCCAATGGGAGAGATCATCTGCAGGCATGGGGAGGGGTGTGCTGATGTACGCTGATGACGCCCAAAGCTATGCCTCTCACATGAAGCCAATGGGAGAGATCCTCCACAGGCATGGGGAGGGATATGCTGATGTATGCTGATGACGCCCAAAACTATGCCTCTCGCATGAAGCCAATGGGAAATATCATCCACAGGCTTGGGGAGGGTGTGCTGATATATGCTGATGATGCCCAAATCTATGCCTCTCGCATGAAGCCAATGGGAGAGATCCTCCACAGGCATGGGGAGGGGTGTGCTGATGTACGCTGATGACGCCCAAAGCTATGCCTCTCACATGAAGCCAATGGGAGAGATCCTCCACAGGCATGGGGAGGGGTGTACTGATGTATGCTGATGACGCCCAAAACTATGCCTCTCGCATGAAGCCAATGGGAAATATCATCCACAGGCTTGGGGAGGGGTGTGCTGATATATGCTGATGACGCCCAAATCTATGCCTCTCACATTAAGCCAATGGGAGAGATCATCTGCAGGCATGGGGAGGGGTGTGCTGATGTACGCCGATGACACCCAAATCTATGCCTCTCACATGAAGCCAATGGGAGAGATCCTCCACAGGCTTGGGGAGGGGTGTGCTGATATATGCTGATGACGCCCAAATCTATGCCTCTCACATTAAGCCAATGGGAGAGATCATCTGCAGGCATGGGGAGGGGTGTGCTGATGTACGCCGATGACACCCAAATCTATGCCTCTCACATGAAGCCAATGGGAAAGATAATCCGCAGGCATGGGGTGCGGCGCTAGAGGTATGCTGATGACACCCAAAGCTATGCCTCTCACATGAAGCCAATGGGAGAGATAATCCTATGAGACTGGACAGCCATCTGTTGGGAGGGTTTTGATGGTGTCTTCCTGGATGGCCCTTGTGGACTCCTCCAACCTTAACTTCCTATGATTATATTATGTTATATAATAATAATAATAATAATAATAATAATAATAATAATAATAATAGGTTATATTTCTCCACAAACCTTCTGCCTATGGAGCTGGATGGCCATCTGTTGGGAGGGTTTGGATGGTGTCTTCCTGGGTGTTCCAACCATAGGATTCTTCTATTCTATTCTAATAGTATTATTATATTATATTATATTATATTATATTATATTATATTATATTATATTATATTATTTCTCCATGAACCTTCTAAGGCTGATGAGGCTGGGTGGCCATCTGGCGGGACGGTTTGAATGGTGTCTTCCTGGGTGTTCCAACCATAGGATCCTATGATTCTCTTCTATTCTAATAATATTATTATATTGTATTATATTATATTTCTCCATTAACCTTCTAAGGCCAATGAGGCTGGAGGGCCATCTGTCGGGAGGGTTTGGATGGTGTCTTCCTGGATGGCCATCTGGCGGGAGGGTTTGGATGGTGTCTTCCTGGGTGTTCCAACCATAGGATCCTATGATTCTCTTCTATTCTAATAATATTATTATATTGTATTATATATGAGGCTGGAGGGCCATCTGTTGGGAGGGTTCGGATGGTGCTTCCACCTTCATGTCTCCCTCTTTCCAGGTGGAGTCGTACCGGGGTCCCACCATAGACGACACAGGACTCAACGGCATCCGGCTCCTTTGCACGCAAGGCTGGAGTGGAAGTGGACAGAAGGGCCACGCCGTGGAGTCCGAGAGTGGACAGTGAGTCTGGAGAACATGGGTGGTGCACACGCGTGTGCAAAGGGGAGGGGCCTTTGTCTGGAGGGCTTTGGTGGCACCGTTTGCACATGCACACACCCGCAAAGTCCTATGTGCCCCGTGGTTCTGCACAGGGCTCCTATACTTCCTCCTCTTCCTCTTCTCTCTATTTCTCCTCTTCTTCCTTTCCCCTTCCTTGTTTTCCTCCTCCTCTTCCTCCTCCTTTTTCTCTTTCCCTTCTTTGCTCTCTTGCCTTCCTCTTCTTCTTCTTCATATTTCCCCTCTTGTTCCTTTCCTCTTCCCTTCCTCTTCCCCCTCATCTTCCTCCTACCCCTTCTTCCTTCTCTTCTTCATCCCCTTCTTTCTCATTTTCCCTGTCTTCCCTTCCTCTTCCTCCCCTTCTTCTTCCATTCCTCTACCTTTCTTCCTCCTCCTCTTCCCTTCTTTTTCCTCCTCCTTTTCCTCTTTCCCCTCTTCATCCTCTTCCCTTTCTCTATCTCCTCCTCTTCTTCCTATTCCCCTCTTCTTTCTTTTCCTCTTCCCTTCTTTTTCCTCCTCCTCTTCCTCTTCTATTTCTCCTCTTCTTCCTTCCCTCTTCCTTGTTTTCCTCCTCTTCCCTCCTTTTTCCTCCTCCTTTTTCTCTTTCCCTTCTTTCCCCTCAGGGTGACAAAAGCAAGGACAAAGAGACTGAGAGACAGTTTGTACAATGGCAATACAGCTATTCTATTCTATTCTATTCTATTCTATTCTATTCTATTCTATTCTATTCTATTCTATTCTATTCTATTCTGTATTGGTGTATATACCCAGTGTTGCTTGAGTATCACTGGGACTTCTGCTGGCCTACTTTCTCCATTCTCCGGTTCTGAGAAGGAAGGCCTTCCTTACAATGCCTTATTATTGCCACCTGGCAGGCGGTACAGGGCGACAAAGGCAAGGACAAAGAGACTGAGAGGCAGCTTATCTCTTAGAGTTGTGGCTATGTTGAACCCCGTGGCTTCACATTGGTGTGGCATTGGGGGCTGTGCCATAGTGTGTGATTACAATGTGGAGGGATGGGTGTGTTGTTTCGCAGTGTGTGCAGGGGCGGCTCGTCCATTATGTGAAGTAAGCGGTCGCAGAACACTTTTTTTTTTGCCAGGGGCGCAGAGGCGCCTCTGTAAATGCCCCTCGACCACCACTTGAGGAGCGCCCCCTCAGCTCACAACAGCCCTAGCAGTCCGGGGGGAGCCTCGGCTTTCTTGCCTCGCTGCCGGGCGATCCTCTTCCCAAAGGGGCCGGGCCCTTGAGCCTTGCCTAGCCCCTCTCGTTCCTGCTCCACCGGCCACCGGGTGAGCAGAGCCGGCGCTCAATCGTTCTCCGCGTTCGATCCCTTCCCCATGACCGGCTCCCTTTCCCGATCCCCCGGCGCTCCACCCGCCTCCTCTCCTCTCCCCAATCCGCAGGTGGGCCAAGGGGCGGAGCCGCCATGCCTGGCCTGCTTCAGGTCCGGAGGCGTGTCTGAAGACCCCAGCGTGCACACAGAGGCGGCCCTAGGTAATTTTTAACGGTAAGCAAACAGTATTTTGGTGGCCCCCCCACCAATCATTGATATATATTTTCTGTTTGTCGTGGGAGTTCTGTGTGACATATTTGGTTCAATTCCATCACTGGTGGAGTTCAGAATGCTCTTTGATTGTAGGTGAACTATACATCCCAGTAACTACACTTGCCGCACTTGCTCTCTTGCCTGGCCCGCTTTGGGTCCGGAGGCGTGCCTGAAGACCCCAGCGTGTGCACCAAAAGTCACCGCTTCTCCTGACGTTCTCCTCAGCCATTGGGACCAAGAGAGAGAGGGAGAGAGAGAGAGAGGTGGAGATGCCCACCTTTCCTGAAGGTAGGCGCAAAAACAAAGGAGGGAGCGGAGGTGGGAGATACCTCCAGCCGGAGGGGCTCTCTCTCTCTCTCTCTCTCTCTCTTGGTCCCAATGGCTGAAGAGAAAGTCAGGAGAAGAGGTGACTTTTGGTGCGCACACTGGGGTCTTCAGACACGCCTCCAGACCCAAAGCGGGCCAGGCACGGCGGCTCCGCCCCTTGGCCCACCCGCAGATTGGGGAGAGGAGAGGAGGCGGGTGGAGCACCGGGAGATCGGGAAAGGGAGCCAGTCATGGGGAAGGGATCGAACGCGGAGAACGATTGAGCACCAGCTCTGCTCGTGCACCCGGTGGAGCAGGAACGAGAGGGGCTAGGCGAGGCTCAAGGGCCCGGCCCCTTTGGGAAGAGGATCGCCCAGCAGTGAAGCAAGAAAGCCAAGGCTCTTCCCGGACTGCTAGGACTGTTGTGAGCTGAGGGGGCGCTCCTCCTCAAGTGGCGGTCGAGGGGCTTTTACAGAGGCGCCTCTGCGCCCCTGGCAAAAAAAAGTGTTCTGCAACCGCTTACTTCGTGTAATGGATGGGCCGCCCCTGTGTGCGCACCAAAAGCCGCCTCTTCTCCTGATTTTCTTTTCAGCCATTGGGACCAAGAGAGAGAGAGAGAGAGAGAGAGCCCCTCTGGCTGGAGGTATCTCCCACCTCCGCTCCCTCCTTTGTTTTTGCGCCTACCTTCAGGAAAGGTGGGCATCTCCACCTCTCTCTCTCTCTCTCTTCTCTCTCTCTTGGTCCCAATGGCTGAGGAGAAAGTCAGGAGAAGAGGTGACTTTTGGTGCGCACGCCGGGGTCTTCAGGCACGCCTCCGGACCCAAAGCGGGCCAGGCAAGGGAGCAAGTGCGGCAAGTGTAGTTACTGGGATGTATAGTTCACCTACAATCAAAGAGCATTCTGAACTCCACCAATGATGGAATTGAACCAAATATGGCACACAGAACTCCCACGACGAACAGAAAATATATATCAAAGACTGGTTGGGGGGGCCCCCCGCCAAAATACTATTTGCTTACCGTTGAAAATTACCTAGGGCCGCCTCTGCCCTTGATCATTTGAGTCGCCCTCCTCTGGACACATTCCAGCTTGTCAATATCTCTCTTGAATTGTGGTGCCCAGAATTGGACACAATATTCCAGGTAAAGTGGTCTAACCAAAGCGGAATAGAGCAAGAGCATGACTTCCCTAGATCTAGACACTATGCTCCTCTTGATGCAGGCCAAAATCCCATTGGCTTTTTTTGCCGCCACATCACATTCCTGGCTCATGTTTAACTTGTTGGGCACGAGGACTCCAAGATCTTTTTCACACGTACTACTCTCGAGCCAGGCCTCATCGTCCCCCATTCTGTCTCTTTGCATTTCATTTTTTCTGCCTAAGTGGAGTCTCTTGCATTTGTCACTGTTGAACTTCATTTTGTTAGTTTTGGCCCATCTCTCTAATCTGTCAAGATCATTTTGAATCCTGCTCCTGTCCTCTGGAGTCTTGGCTATCCCCCAATGCCACATTGGTGTGGCATTGGGGGCTGTGCCATAGTGTGTGATTACAATGTGGTGGGATGGGTGTGTTGTTTTGCAGTGTGTGCAGGGGCAGCTCGTCCATTACGCGAAGTAAGCGGTCGCAGAACACTTTTTTTTGCCAGGGAGCGCCCCCTCAGCTCACAACAGCCCTAGCAGTCCGGGGGGAGCCTCGGCTTTCTTGCCTCACTGCCGGGTGATCCTCTTCCCAAAGGGGCCGGGCCCTTGAGCCTTGCCTAGCCCCTCTCGTTCCTGCTCCACCCGGCCACCGGGTGCGCGAGCAGAGCCGGCGCTCAATCGTTCTCCGCGTTCGATCCCTTCCCCATGACCGGCTCCCTTTCCCGATCCCCCAGCGCTCCACCCGCCTCCTCTCCTCTCCCCAATCGCGGGTGGGCCAAGGGGTGGAGCCGCCCGCTTCGGGTCCGGAGGCGTTTCTGAAGACCCCAGTATGCGCACAGAGGCAGCCCTAGGTAATTTTCAACGGTAAGCAAACAGTATTTTGTTGCCCCCCCCCCCAATCATTGATATATATTTTCTTTTCGTCGTGGGAGTTCTGTGTGCCATATTTGGTTCAATTCCATCATTGGTGGAGTTCAGAATGCTCTTTGATTGTAGGTGAACTATACATCCCAGTAACTACACTTGCCGCACTTGCTCCCTTGCCTGGCCCGCTTTGGGTCCGGAGGCGTGCCTGAAGACCCCGGCGTGTGCACCAAAAGTCACCTCTTCTCCTGACTTTCTCCTCAGCCATTGGGACCGAGAGAGAGAGAGGGAGAGAGAGAGAGGTGGAGATGCCCACCTTTCCTGAAGGTAGGCACAAAAACAAAGGAGGGAGCGGAGGTGGGAGATACCTCCAGCCGGAGGGCTCTCTCTCTCTCTCTCTCTTGGTCCCAATGGTTGAAAAGAAAGTCAGGAGAAGAGGACTTTAAGTCACATCTTCTCCTGACTTTCTTCTCGGGCATTGGGACCCAGAGAGAGAGAGAGAGAGAGGTGGAGATGCCCACCTTTCCTGAAGGTAGGCGCAAAAACAAAGGAGGGAGCGGAGGTGGGAGATACCTCCAGCCGGAGGGCTCTCTCTCTCTCTCTCTCTCTCTCTTGGTCCCAATGGCTGAAGAGAAAGTCAGGAGAAGAGGCGACTTTTGGTGCGCACGCTGGGGTCTTCAGACACGCCTCCGGACCCGAAGCGGGCCAGGCGCGGCAGCTCCGCCCCTTGGCCCACCCGCGGATTGGGGAGAGGAGAGGAGGTGGGTGGAGCACCAGGGGATCGGGAAAGGGAGCCGGTCATGGGGAAGGGATCGAACGCGGAGAACGATTGAGCGCCGGCTCTGCTCGTGCACCCGGTGGCCGGGTGGAGCAGGAACGAGAGGGGCTAGGCGAGGCTCAAGGGCCCGGCCCCTTTGGGAAGAGGATCGCCCGGCAGTGAGGCAAGAAAGCCGAAGCTCCCCCCGGACTGCTAGGGCTGTTGTGAGCTGAGGGAGGGGGTGCTCCTCAAGTGGCGGTCAAGGGGCATTTACAGAGGTGCCTCTGCGCCCCTGGCAAAAAAAAAGTGTTCTGTGACCGCTTACTTCACGTAATGGACGAGCCGCCCCTGTGTGCGCACCAAAAGTCGCCTCTTCTCCTGACTTTCTCTTCAGCCATTGGGACCAAGAGAGAGAGAGAGAGAGAGAGCCCCTCCGGCTGGAGGTATCTCCCACCTCCGCTCCCTCCTTTGTTTTTGCGCCTACCTTCAGGAAAGGTGGGCATCTCCACCTCTCTCTCTCTCTCTCTCTCTCTCTCGGTCCCAATGGCTGAGGAGAAAGTCAGGAGAAGAGGTGGTGGCACAAGCCGGGGTCTTCAGGCACGCCTCCGGACCCAAAGCGGGCCAGGCAAGGGAGCAAGTGCGGCAAGTGTAGTTACTGGGATGTATAGTTCACCTCCAATCAAAGAGCATTCTGAACTCCACCAATGATGGAATTGAACCATATATGGCACACAGAACTCCCACGACAAACAGAATATATATATGAAAGACTGGTTGGGGGGGGGGCGCCAAAATACTATTTGCTTACCGTTGAAAATTACCTAGGGCCGCCTCTGAGTGTGTGCTGGGGAAGGCATTGACTTTCGTTGTGCAATACACAATGGCAACAAAGCTATTCTGTTCTATTCTAATTCTGTGTGTTCGTGTGTTGTTGGAGTGCCATTGGGACCACCCCCTGCCTACTTTCTCCCTTCTCCAGCTCTGAAAAGGAAGGCCTTCCTTGCAATGCCTTATCATTGCCACCTGGCAGGCGGCACAGGGTGACAAAGGCAAGGACAAACAGACTGAAGGATAGCTCTTATCCTAGAGCTATGGCCATGCTGAACTCGCATTGAGGTGGCATTGCGGATTGTGCAATACCAATGTCAATGTGGGTGGGTGGGTTGTGTTGCGGTGTGTGCTGGGGAAGATGGACAGCCTGGCAGCATACGCAGATGCTACCCTTCAAGTGACTGCCGCGCCCCTCCTCTGTTTCTGCTGACCTTTATACTCAAGTAATAGGTCATGGAAAGTACTCTCTTTCCAGCCGCCCTCCCTTGACCTTTTGATGGAAAGTACCTTCTTGTACCTGCAGACTCTGTACTTAACCACAACCTTTGGCTTAACCACAACACAACTACTTCCTATGTCGATACCAGGCAAGATTCTGGAAAAGATTGTTAAGGAAGTGGTCTGCAAACATTTAGAAACACACCTGACTGTGTGTGCTGGGGGAGGCCTTGACTGTGGTTGTGCCTTGTCCAGTGGCACTGAGGCCCTTCTCTCCTTTTGCTCTGCAGGTGGGGCGAATGGTCGGAGCCCATGTGGTGCCCCCCCGGGGGCCGGCTGGAGAGCTTTGCTCTGCGAGTGGAGGAGGAGCGGGGGCCGGTGCAGGACCGGATGGGGGCCACCAACGTGCGCTTCACCTGCTCCGGGGGGGAGGAGCTGGAGGGCCCGGGCCTGGACTATGGGGAGTTTGGCCCCCCCAGCGCCCCCTGCCGGAAGGGCTTCTGCGGCATCCAGACCCAGGTGGAGCCATTCCAGGGGTACTTCAGCGACGACTCCGCCCTCAACAACGCCATGATGTTCTGCTGCGAACGATGAGCCCCCTCCCCCACACCCTGGCCCTCCCTCACCTCAGACAGGTGTTGGCAATAAAGGCGAGAGAGCCTCTGAGCATGTGCAGAGTGGTCATTCTTCCCCTATTCCAACACTTGCCAGAATGCATGTAGCAGAGAGAGAGAGTGTGTGTGCCTCTGAGCATGTGCAGAGTGGTCATTCTTCCCCTATTCCAACACTTGCCAGAATGCATGTAGCAGAGAGAGAGAGTGTGTGTGCCTCTGAGCATGTGCAGAGTGGTTATTCTTCCCCATTGCAACATTAGCTAGAATGCATCTAGCAGAGAGAGAGAATGCTTCTGAGCATGTGCAGAGTGGTTATTCTTCCCCATTGCAACATTAGCCAGAATGCATCTAGCAGAGAGAGAGAATGCTTCTGAGCATGTGCAGAGTGGTTATTCTTCCCCATTGCAACATTAGCCAGAATGCATCTAGCAGAGAGAGAGAATGCTTCTGAGCATGTGCAGAGTGGTCGTTTTTCCCCTATTCTAGCAGAGAGAGAGAGAGAGTATGCCTCTGAGCATGTGCAGAGTGGTCGTTTTTCCCCATTCCAACACTTGCCAGAATGTATCTAGCAGAGAGAGAGAGCATGTCTCTGAGCATGTGCAGAGTGGCCATTCTTCCCCTATTCCAAGGCATGCCAGAATGCACCTAGCAGAGAGAGAGAGAGCATGCCTCTGAGCATGTGCAGAGTGGCCGTTCTTCCCCTATTCCAAGGCATGCCAGAATGCATCTAGCAGAGAGAGAGTGTGTGTGTGCCTCTGAGCATGTGCAGAGTGGTCATTCTTCCCCTATTCTAGCAGAGAGAGAGAGAGAGAGAGAGAGTATGCCTCTGAGCATGTGCAGAGTGGCCATTCTTCCCCTATTCCAATGCTTGCCAGAATGAACCTAGCAGAGAGAGAGCATGTCTCTGAGCATGTGCAGAGTGGCCATTCTTCCCCTATTCCAAGGCATGCCAGAATGCATCTAGCAGAGAGAGAGAGAGAGAGTGCCTCTGAGCATGTGCAGAGTGGTCATTCTTCCCCATTGCAACATTAGCCAGAATGCTTCCGAGCATGTGCAGAGTGCTCATTCTTCCTCATTCCACTGTTTGGCAGAATTCATATAGCAGAGAGAGAAGTACTTCTGAGCATGTGCAGAGTAGGTATTCTTCCCCATTCCAACACTTGCTAGAATGCACCTAGCAGAGAGGGAGAGCATGCCACTGAGCATGTGCAGAGTGGCCATTCTTCCCCTATTCCAAGGCATGCTAGAATGCATCTAGCAGAGTGTGTGTGTTTGTGTGTGCCTCTGAGCATGTGCAGAGTGCTCATTCTTCCCCATTAGCCAGATGAATTCTGTTTGGCAGAATTCATTTAGCAGAGAGAGAAGTACTTCTGAGCATGTGCAGAGTAGGTATTCTTCTCCATTCCAACACTTGTCAGAATGCATCTAGCAGAGTGTGTGTGTGCCTCTGAGCATGTGCAGAGTGGACATTCTTCTGCATTCCTACACTTTCCAGAATGCATCTAGCAGAGAGAGGGAGAGAGAGTGCCTCTGAGCATGTGCAGAGTAGGTATTCTTCCCCCTTCCAACACTTGCCAGAATGCATCTAGCAAAGAGAGAGAGAGAGAGCGAGAGAGAGCATGCCTCTGAGCATGTGCAGAGTGGTCATTCTTCCCTTATTCCAACGCTTGCCAGACTACATCTAACGGAGAGCGAGAGTGCCTCTGAGCATGTGCAGAGTGGCATTTCATGCACTATTGAGAAGAACCTTGCCTTAAACTTTCACATTCAATTATCCCCCAATGGGAAGTCTCCGTGTGCCTTGAAACTTGTGCTCACCTTTGTTACTCAACCTTCCCCAAAACAACAACAACAACACCGACACCGAGAAGCAGGAGAGTCCTGTGTGGATGAGGAATGTTTTTATCCTTCCTGGCCCTTCAAGGGAGGGGCCCTTGTGCAAATTGCGGCAGAGAAACACAAAAGGGGGGGGGATTTGGAGTGTGAGGGGGGGTCTGTCCACATGGGAGGAGGAGGCGGAGGAAGGAGGGGAGCAGCTCCAGGACCAGGTCCCGTGGATCAATCGTGGTGGGCTTTACAAGCCTTCGCCCTGCAAGAGACACCCAAGGAGATCTGGGTCAGCACCGCAAACAGGACCCTCGCCCTAAATCCTCCCCCCACCCTTCAGACCTGCCATTCATTCCCATTACAAGCAGCCCCCCAAGTTACAAACAAGACAGGTTCCATAGGCTGGTTCTTAAGTTGGGAGTGTAAGTCAGAACAGGGACCTTTCAGGAGTGTAAGTCAGAACAGGGACCTTTCGGGTGTGTAAGTCAGAACAGGGACCTTTCCAAAGTGTAAGTCAGAACAGGGACCTTTCAGGAGTGTAAGTCAGAACAGGGACCTTTCAGGAGTGTAAGTCAGAACAGGGACCTTTCAGGAGTGTAAGTCAGAACAGGGACCTTTCAGGAGTGTAAGTCAGAACAGGGACCTTTCCGAAGTGTAAGTCAGAACAGGGATCTTTCGGGAGCGTAAGTCAGAACAGGGACCTTTCGGGAGCGTAAGTCAGAACAGGGACCCTTCGGGAGTGTAAGTCAGAACAGGGACCTTTCGGGAGTGTAAGTCAGAACAGGGACCTTTCGGGAGTGTAAGTCAGAACAGGGACCTTTCGGGAGTGTAAGTCAGAACAGGGACCTTTCGGGAGTGTAAGTCAGAACAGGGACCTTTCGGGAGTGTAAGTCAGAACAGGGACCTTTCGGGAGTGTAAGTCAGAACAGGGACCTTTCGGGAGTGTAAGTCAGAACAGGGACCTTTCGGGAGTGTAAGTCAGAACAGGGACCTTTCGGGAGTGTAAGTCAAAACAGGGACCTTTCGGGAGTGTAAGTCAGAACAGGGACCTTTCGGGAGCGTAAGTCAGAACAGGGACCTTTCGGGAGTGTAAGTCAGAACAGGGACCTTTTGAGAGTGTAAGTCAGAACAGGGACCTTTCGGGAGTGTAAATCAGAACAAGGACCTTTTGGGAGTGTAAGTCAGAACAGGGACCTTTCAGGAGTGTAAGTCAGAACAGGGACCTTTCAGGAGTGTAAGTCAGAACAGGGACCTTTCCGAAGTGTAAGTCAGAACAGGGATCTTTCGGGAGCGTAAGTCAGAACAGGGACCTTTCGGGAGCGTAAGTCAGAACAGGGACCCTTCGGGAGTGTAAGTCAGAACAGGGACCTTTCGGGAGTGTAAGTCAGAACAGGGACCTTTCGGGAGTGTAAGTCAGAACAGGGACCTTTCGGGAGTGTAAGTCAGAACAGGGACCTTTCAGGAGTGTAAGTCAGAACAGGGACCTTTCAGGAGTGTAAGTCAGAACAGGGACCTTTCCGAAGTGTAAGTCAGAACAGGGATCTTTCGGGAGCGTAAGTCAGAACAGGGACCTTTCGGGAGCGTAAGTCAGAACAGGGACCTTTCGGGAGCGTAAGTCAGAACAGGGACCTTTCGGGAGCGTAAGTCAGAACAGGGACCTTTCGGGAGCGTAAGTCAGAACAGGGACCTTTCGGGAGCGTAAGTCAGAACAGGGACCTTTCGGGAGCGTAAGTCAGAACAGGGACCTTTCGGGAGCGTAAGTCAGAACAGGGACCTTTCGGGAGCGTAAGTCAGAACAGGGACCTTTCGGGAGCGTAAGTCAGAACAGGGACCTTTCGGGAGCGTAAGTCAGAACAGGGACCTTTCGGGAGCGTAAGTCAGAACAGGGACCTTTCGGGAGCGTAAGTCAGAACAGGGACCTTTCGGGAGCGTAAGTCAGAACAGGGACCTTTCGGGAGCGTAAGTCGGAACAGGGACCTTTCGGGAGTGTAAGTCAGAACAGGGACCTTTCCGAAGTGGAAGTCAGAACAGGGACCTTTCGGGAGCGTAAGTCGGAACAGGGACCTTTCGGGAGCGTAAGTCAGAACAGGGACCTTTCGGGAGTGTAAGTCAGAACAGGGACCTTTCGGGAGTGTAAGTCAGAACAGGGACCTTTCGGGAGCGTAAGTCAGAACAGGGACCCTTCGGGAGTGTAAGTCAGAACAGGGACCTTTCGGGAGCGTAAGTCAGAACAGGGACCTTTCGGGAGCGTAAGTCAGAACAGGGACCTTTCGGGAGCGTAAGTCAGAACAGGGACCTTTCGGGAGCGTAAGTCAGAACAGGGACCTTTCGGGAGCGTAAGTCAGAACAGGGACCTTTCGGGAGCGTAAGTCGGAACAGGGACCTTTCGGGAGTGTAAGTCAGAACAGGGACCTTTCCGAAGTGGAAGTCAGAACAGGGACCTTTCGGGAGTGTAAGTCGGAACAGGGACCTTTCGGGAGTGTAAGTCAGAACAGGGACCTTTTGAGAGTGTAAGTCAGAACAGGGACCTTTCGGGAGTGTAAATCAGAACAAGGACCTTTTGGGAGTGTAAGTCAGAACAGGGACCTTTCGGGAGTGTAAGTCAGAACAGGGACCTTTCGGGAGTGTAAGTCGGAACAGGGACCTTTCGGGAGTGTAAGTCAGAACAGGGACCTTTCGGGAGTGTAAGTCGGAACAGGGACCTTTCAGGAGTGTAAATCAGAACAAGGACCTTTCGGGGGTGTAAGTCAGAACAGGGACCTTTTGGGAGTGTAAGTCAGAACAGGGACCTTTCTGAAGTGTAAGTCAGAACAGGGACCTTTCGGGAGCGTAACTCCAGCCAATATCTTTCTTTCTTTCCCTGCGAGAATGGGATTTTGGGAGATTTGGCTGATGTGGAGGGGGGATACAATGGTGACCCCTTCCCCCCATAATAACAACTCTTCCAGGAGTGGTTTCCCCCTTTTAGAGGTAGACTTATTTCACTTCCTGTTTGTATCACCCTCGTTCTTAACTGGGAGTCATTTCTAGGTCAGATGTTTGTAACTTGGGAGCTGTCTATAACGATATATAGAATCATAAGATTTGCAAGGGACCCCCAAAGGCCATCCAGTCCAGCCCTATTCTTCACTAGGAGTGGATGACAAGTTGGACGTTTGTAATTTGGGCCTATACACACACACACAGACACACACAAACACACACACATACATAGAGTACATATGAGATAGATTGCTCCTGACATGACCAAAAAAAATATGAGATAGATATAGAATCGTGGATTTGGAAGGGACTTCCAAGGGCCATCCAGTCCAGCCTGCTTCTTAACTAGGAGTCGTTGACAAGTTGGATGTTTGTAATTTGGGCCTATACACACACACACACACACATATATATATATACACACACAGAGTACATATGAGATAGACATAGAATCATGGATTTTGAAGGGACCCCCAAAGGACATCCAGTCCAGCCTGCTTCTTCACTATAAGTCATTGACAAGTTGGATGCTTGTAACTTGGGCCTACACACACACACACACACACACACACACACACACACACATACACACACAGCACATATGAGATAGACATATAGAATCATGGATTTGGAAGGGACCTCCAAGGGCCATCCAGTCCAGCCTGCTTCTTCACTAGGAGTCATTGACAAGTTGGATGTTTGTAATTTGGGCCTATACACACACACACACACACACACACACACACACACACATACACAGATATACACACACAGTACATATGAGATAGATATAGAGTCATAGATTTGGAAGGGACCCCCAAGGGACATCCAGTCCAGCCTGCTTCTTAACTAGGACTCATTGACAAGTTGGATGTTTGTAACTTGGGCCTACACACACACACACACACACACACAGCACATATGAAATAGACATAGAATCATGGATTTGGAAGGGACCTCCAAGGGCCATCTAGTCCAGCCTGCTTCTTAACTAGAAGTCATTGACAAGTTGGATGTTTGTAATTTGGGCCTACACACACTCACACACACACACATACACACAGCACATATGAGATAGACATAGAATCATGGATTTGGAAGGGACCTCCAAAGGCCATCCAGTCCAGCCCTATTCTTCACTAGAAGTTGTTGACAAGTTGGATGTTTGTCACTTGGGCCTATACACACACACACAGTACATATGAGATAGATTATGATTCTATATCTATCTCATATGTACTGTGTGTGTGTGGAAGGGACCCCCAAAGGCCATCCAGTCCAGCCCTATTCTTAACTGGGAGTCATTTTCAAGTCCGATGTTTGTAACTTGGATGTGGCCTATATGTATGTATGTATGTATGTATGTATGTATATGTATATGTATATGTATATGTATATGTATATGTATATGTATATGTATTAGGCATGGGCAATCCATGGTTCTATATGGTTCTAAAGTACTTACAAAACTAGAGGGCGCTGACACTTTGCTTCTAAAGTGATGATGATAATAATAATAATAATAATAATAATAATAATAATAATAATAATAATTGCTTCTAAAGTGTTGCTAAAGTTCTGGTGGTGAAAATTTCAGAACTCCAACAAAACTTTCAAAATTTCATTATTATTTCGTTATTGGGGATTATTACGACAGAACCAATTCGGAACTGCCATTTATAACGAAATTTTGAAAGTTTTGTTGGAATTCTGAAATTTTCACCACCATAACTTTAGCAACACTTTAGAAGCAAAGCACCAGCGCCCGCTAGTTTTGTAAGCACTTTAGAACCATTTAGAACCATGGATTGCCCCTGCCTTACACACACACACACATATGTAAGCCACACCGAAGTTACCAACACCAGACTTGCAAATAACTCCAAGTTAAAAATAGGGCTGGACTGGATGACCTTCGGGGTCCCTTCCAAATTTGGAAGAGATCCCCAAAGGCCATTCAATTCAACCCTATTCCTGACAAGGAGTCGTTTGCAAGCCAGATGTTTCTAACTCAGGCACTGAATGTATATATCTATATCTATATATGTTTGTATATATGAGATAGATATAGTATCATAGATTTGTAAGGGACCTCCAAAGGCCATCCAGTCCAGCCCTATTCTCCACTAGGCGTGGTTTCAAAGTTGGATGTTTGTAACTTGGGCACTGCATGTATATGTATATCTATATTTCTACATACATTAGATAGATATAGAATCATGGATTTGGAAGGGACCCCCAAAGGCCATCCAGTCCAAGCCTGTTCTCAACTTGGAGTCGGATGTTTGTAACTCAGGGATTGCATGTCTACATATCTATATATACATGAGATAGATATAATATCAAAGATTTGGAAGGGACCTCCAAAGGTCATCCGGTCCAGCCCTCTTCTTAACTAGGAGTAATTTGCAAGTCAGATGTTTGTAACTCGGGGGCTGCTTGTATTGTGACCCCCTGATTTAGACCCCAAAGGCGATCCAGGACGAAGCCCCAAAAGTGAGCTGCCAAGGCTGGGGAGGCGGGCAATGTTGACAAAGGCATGGACCCCCGCTCCCTGCCCCAGGTGCCAAAGTGGACGCAGCCTTGCCCCCCCTCCCCACTTTATTTATTTGGGGGTGTCTCCCCCCACTCCGTTTTATTTACCTCCCGGTCGGCGGCCTTGCGGCAGTCCCCACAGACCGTGCCCAGGAGCCCGTTGACCACCTGGATCCCACAGAGGAGCAGCTCCAGGAGGCCCAGGCCCAGCAGGATGGAGAAGAGGACAATGTGCCACAGGACCACCTTGGGGGGGTTCATGCACACCTCCCACTGCGTCTTGTTCTGCAGGTAGCTCCCGCTGGGCAGGAAGGAGACACAGGCAGGCGGTCAGTGCAGGTCGGAGTGGACCATGCACAAGCATCCGGGGGGGGGGGGGGGGGGGGGGGGGGAGGAAGAATCATAACACGATACGGATCTGGAAGGGGCATCTAGTGGTCATCCAGACCAACCCCAGCATGCCATTGAAGGACAAGAATGGACCATGCACTCAATCCAGATTGGAGTTGGATATGGTATGGGGGAGGAGAAATCATAACATGATATGTGTCTGGAAGGGACATCTAGTGCTCATCTAGACCAACCTCATGATGCCACTGCAGCCCCTCTTTTGGGGCTGCCTGGATCATCTTTTGGGGCCTTTCCATCCTTATGCATGATTGGGGTGAGACTTATGGAGGAGGAATCACAACACAATATGGATCTGAAAGAGGTCTCCAAAGGTCATCTAGACCAACCCTGCCATGCCACTGCAGTATGAGCGCAGAGCATGAACCCAAAGTGTAGGCCTCTCCATCAATATGCATGCTTAGCATGGGAGAAGGAATCATAACACAATATGGATCTGGAAGAGGGTCCTAACAGTCATCTAGACCAACCCCACCATGCCGTTGCAGGACGGGAGTGGACCATGTACTCAAATCCAGAGGCACGATTGGAGTGGGACACAGGGAGGAGGAATCATAACATGATATGGATCTGGAAGGGACATCTAGTGGTCATCTAGACCAACCCCACCATGCCACTGCAGGATGAGCGCAGAGCATGAACCCTTCTAGATCCATAAGGGACCCCCAGCGATTGGAGTGGGACTCATGGAAGAGGAATCACAACATGATACAGATCTGGAAGGGACATCTAGTGGTCATCTAGACCAACCCCACCATGCCACTGCAGGATGAGCGCAGAGCATGAACCCAAAGTGTAGGCCTCTCCATCAATATGCATGCTTAGCATGGGAGGAGGAATCATAACACAATATGGATCTGGAAGAGGGTCCTAACAGTCATCTAGACCAACCCCACCATGCCGTTGCAGGACGGGAGTGGACCATGTACTCAAATCCAGAGGCACGATTGGAGTGGGACACAGGGAGGAGGAATCATAACATGATATGGATCTAGAAGGGACCCCCAGCGATTGGAGTGGGACTCATGGAAGAGGAATCACAACATGATACAGATCTGGAAGGGACATCTAGTGGTCATCTAAACCAACCTAAGCATGCTATTGCAGAACATGAATGGACCATGAACCCGAAGTGTAGGCTTCTCCATCTAGAGGCATGATTGGAGTGGGACATGGGGATGAGGAATCACAACATAATACAGATCTGGGAGGGACATCTAGTGGTCATCTAGACCAACCCTGCCATGCCACTGCAGGATGAGAGTGGAGCATGAACCAAAGTGTAGGCCGCTCCATCAATATGCATGATTAGCATGGGACTCATGGAGGGGGAATCATAACACAATATGGATCTGGAAGAGGGTCCTAACGGTCATCTAGACCAATCCCACCATGCCACTGCAAGACTGGAGTGGACCATGCACTCAAATCCAGAGGCATGATTGGAGTGGGACACAGGGAGGAGGAATCATAACATGATGCAGATCTGGAAGGGACATCTAGTGGTCATCTAGACCAATCCAAGCATGCTATTGCAGAACATGAATGGACCATGAACCCGAAGTGTAGGCTTCTCCATCCAGAGGCATGATTGGAGCGGGACACAGGGAGGAGGAATCATAACATGATACAGATCTGGAAGGGACATCTAGTGGTCATCTAGGCCAACCCCGCCATACCACTGCAGAATGAGAGTGGAGCATGAACCCAAAGTGTAGGCCTCTCCATCAGTATGCATGATTAGCATGGTATCTGGAAGTGGGGTCAACGATCACCTAGACCAACCCCGCCATGTCACTGCAGGACGGGAGTGGACCATGTTTTGAAATCCAGAGGCATGATTGGAGTGGGACACAGGGAGGAGGAATCATAACATGATGCAGATTTGGAAGGGACCTCTTGTGGTCATCCAGACCAACATTAGCATGCCATTGCAGAACATGAATGGACCATGAACCCAAAGTGTAGGCTCCTCCATCCAGAGGCATGATTGGAGTGGGACACAGGGAGGAGGAATCATAACTTGATACAAATTTGGGACTTCTAGTGGTCATCTAGGCCAACCCCGCCATACCACTGGAGGATGAGAGCGGAGCACAAACCTAAAGGGTAGGCCTCTCCATCAATATGCATAAATTAGCATGGGACTCATGGAGGAGGAACCATAAAACGATATGGATCTGGAAGGGGATCCCAACAGTCATCTAGACCAATCCCACCATGCCACTGCAGGATGGGAGTGGACCATGTTTTCAAATCCAGAGGCATGATTGGAGTGGGACACAGGGAGGAGAAATCATAACATGATACAGATCTGGAAGGGACATCTAGTGGTCATCTAGACCAACCCCACCATGCCACTGCAGGATGAGCGCAGAGCATCAACCCAAAGTGTAGGCGTCTCCATCAATATGCATGCTTAGCATGGGAGGAGGAATCATAACACAATATGGATCTGGAAGAGGGTCCTAACGGTCATCTAGACCAACCCCACCATGCCGTTGCAGGACGGGAGTGGACCATGTACTCAAATCCAGAGGCACGATTGGAGTGGGACACAGGGAGGAGGAATCATAACATGATATGGATCTAGAAGGGACCCCCAGCGATTGGAGTAGGACTCATGGAAGAGGAATCACAACATGATACAGATCTGGAAGGGACATCTAGTGGTCATCTAGACCAACCTAAGCATGCTATTGCAGAACATGAATGGACCATGAACCCGAAGTGTAGGTTTCTCCATCTAGAGGCATGATTGGAGTGGGACATGGGGATGAGGAATCACAACATAATACAGATCTGGAAGGGACATCTAGTGGTCATCTAGGCCAACCCTGCCATACCACTGCAGGATGAGAGTGGAGCATGAACCCAAAGTGTAGGCCTCTCCATCAATATGCATGATTAGCATGGGACTCATGGAGGAGGAACCATAACACGATATGGATCTGGAAGAGGGTCCTAACGGTCATCTAGACCAACCCCACCATGCCATTGCAGGACGGGAGTGGACCATGCACTCAAATCCAGAGGCATGATTGGAGTGGGAGACAGGGAGGAGAAATCATAACATGATACAGATTTGGAAGGGACCTGTAGTGGTCATCTAGACCAACCCAAGCATGCTATTGCAGAACATGAATGGACCATGAACCCAAAGTGTAGGCTTCTCCAGCAAGAGGCATGATTGGAGTGGGACATGGGGATGAGGAATCACAACATAATACAGATCTGGAAGGGACATCTAGTGGTCATCTAGGCCAACCCTGCCATACCACTGCAGGATGAGAGTGGAGCATGAACCCAAAGTGTAGGCCTCTCCATCAATATGCATGATTAGCATGGGAGGAGGAATCATAACACAATATGGATCTGGAAGAGGGTCCTAACGGTCATCTAGACCAATCCCACCATGCCACTGCAAGACTAGAGTGGACCATGCACTCAAATCCAGAGGCATGATTGGAGTGGGACACAGGAAGGAGGAATCATAACGTTATACAGATTTGGAAGGGACTTCTAGTGGTCATCCAGACCAACCTCACCAGGCCAAGACTGGAATGGACCATGCACTCAAATCCAGAGGCATTATTAGAGTAAGACACAGGGAGGAGAAATCATAACACAATATGGATCTGGAGGGGACATCTAGAGATCATCTAGACCAACACGAGCATGCCATTGCAGAACATGAATAGACCATGAACCCAAAGTGTAGGCTTCTTCATCCAGAGGCATGATTGGAGTGGGACACAGGAATCATAACATGATACAGATTTGGAAGGGACTTCTAGTGGTCATCCAGACCAACCTCACCAGGCCAAGACTGGAATGGACCATGCACTCAAATCCAGAGGCATGATTAGAGTAAGACACAGGGAGGAGAAATCATAACACAATATGGATCTGGAGGGGACATCTAGAGATCATCCATACCAACCCCAGAATGCCATTGTACAACATGTATGGACCATGAACCCAAAGTGTAGGCTTCTCCATCTAGAGGCATGATTGGAGTGGGACATGGGGATGAGGAATCATAATATAATACAGATCTGGAAGGGATCCCCAAAGGTCATCTAGACCAACCCCGCCATGCCACTGCAGGATGAGAGTACACCATGCACTCAAGTCATGAGTGCATTGTCATGATTGGAGTGGGACACAGGGAGGAGGAATCATGACAGAATATACATGTGGAAGGGACCTCCAGCGGTCATCCAGACCAACCCAAGCATGCCATCGCAGGCCAACCTGCCCCTGCGAGGCGGGCAGCTCTAACACGGCTCAACAGGTGGAGCCCCCCCCCCCAGGTATGCCTCCCCTTTGGCCCCCTCCCTGTTCGAAGTCTCACCCGAGGTCCTTAAAGGGGTAGTCCCACTTGTGGTCGTGCATCTCACAGCGAGGCCCATTGGCCAGGGCAGCGGAGGCCACCGCCAGGCAGTAGAAGGCCCCCAGGCCCCCGAAAAGGGAGCAGAAGACGGAGCGGAGCATCTGCAGAGGGAAGGAAATGGAGAAAGAAAGAAAGAAAGAAACGCACTCATACCTACATTGCAAAAGTATCCTTTGGCCACCATTGGGGACATGTCCACCTCTCTCATGCGGCTACTTCTTTCCATAGGTCAAAGCTCAGCCCACCTATATCCAAGACATACTCGAGTACATCTGAGCATACACAAAGTGCTGCACGTTGCCACCAAGAAACTATATCCGGGCCCTGTAATGATGCTGGTGTGACTCTGAGCATGCACAGAGTGCTTTTCTGTTGTTAGTGAGTGATTCAAATCAGACCCAGAAATCTCATGAGGCTGGATCCAGATTGATGCCATGCTTGGAAGGGATCCATTGCAACCCTTGGGATTGGAGTGGACATATGCAAAGGTTATACACGATTTATCCCACTGGGAAATCCAAGAATTCCCTTGACTTCAGAGAAGTTGTTGCTTGGCAATGTTGGTCATGGGGAACACAAAGCCCAGAATCCACAGAACAGTGACTTCTGAGCAGAAGTCACAGAACAGGAACAGTTCCACCTTGTCTTCTGTGCTTTGTTAATAATATAATATAATATAACATATTGTATATACCTATAATATCTATAATATTATAATGTAATGCAATAAAATACTACTACTAATAATAATATATCACAATTATATATTTATATTACATGTAATATTACTAATAATACTACAATATAATGATATAATACAATATACTGATATTGTACTATGCTAATAATATAATATATTGTATATACATATTATTTTTATAATATTATGTAATACAATATAATACTAATAATAATACAATATTACAATTATATATGTATATTACATGTAATATTACTAATAATATTACAATATAATGGTATATTACAATATAGTAATAATTAATACTGATAATATAATATATAACATATTGTATATGCCTATAATATCTATAATATTATAATGTAATGCAATACAATACAATACTACTATTAATAATATGATATTACAATTATATATGTATATTACATGTAATATTACTAATAATACTACAATATAACGGTATAATACAATATAGTAATAATTAATACTGATAATATAATATATAACATATTGTATATGCCTATAATATCTATAATATTATAATGTAATGCAATACAATACAATACTACTATTAATAATATGATATTACAATTATATATGTATATTACATGTAATATTACTAATAATATTACAATATAACGGTATAATACAATATAGTAATAATTAATACTGATAATATAATATATAACATATTGTATATGCCTATAATATCTATAATATTATAATGTAATGCAATAAAATACTACTAATAATAATATGATATTACAATTATATATTTATATTACATGTAATATTACTAATAATATTACAATATAATGGTATATTACAATATAGTAATAATTAATACTGATAATATAATATATAACATATTGTATATGCCTATAATATCTATAATATTATAATGTAATGCAATACAATACAATACTACTATTAATAATATGATATTACAATTATATATGTATATTACATGTAATATTACTAATAATACTACAATATAATGGTATAATACAATATAGTAATAATTAATACTGATAATATAATATATAATATTGTATTTGCCTATAATATCTATAATGTTATAATGTAATGCAATAAAATACTACTAATAATAATATGATATTACAATTATATATTTATATTACATGTAATATTACTAATAATATTACAATATAATGGTATATTACAATATAGTAATAATTAATACTGATAATATAATATAACATATTGTATATGCCTATAATATCTATAACATTATAATGTAATGCAATACAATACTAATCATAATAATATGATATTACAATTATATATTTATATTACATGTGATATTACTAATAATATTACAATATAATGGTATAATACAATATAGTAGTAATTAATACTGATAATATAATATATATATTGTGTGTGTATATGCATATGTATATATATATGTATATGTATGTATGTATCCTGTAAGTCGCTCTGAGTCCCCTTCGGGGTGAGAAGGGCGGCTTATAAATGTCGTAAATAAATAAATAAATAAATTCTGGGGCTACAATTCCCATAATCCCGACTGCCCCCCCCTCCCCAAGCAATGCCCGAGTCCCTTGTACCTGGCACCGGTTCCCGCAGCATCCGTGTCCGCAGCAGCCCTTCCCTCCGGCCCGCACGGCAGAGCATCCGGTGCAAAGGACCTGCGCAGCAAGGGGAGAAACAACAGCCCTGCAGTGTGGGTGCTTCCCACTCCTCTCCTTCCCTGCACCACGTTCCCCATGTTATCGAACACCACTATCCCTGTTGCGGGTGATAGGAGAGATAATACCAAGAGCGATCCTTTTTGGGAGGCAGAAAAGTATGTTTTATTTTCAGCTGAGACCCTAGCGTGGAATCTCCTCCAAAAGCAAACCAGAGTGAAGATAAAGGCATTGGCTTTCCCTTTTATACGTCTTCAATTGCAGGCAAACAAAGAAACATGCTTTTACATGCGTAACATCATCGCTACGTCACTTTAAGCATAATAGAGATATCAAATTATGTCATCGAGGGCATTCCAGACCCCTGCCTTCAAGCTGATCTGACCAGCCGCAGGGAGTTCCACAGTTCCTGAATGCCAAGTTGGGCCAAATCTGATGAAATGTGCCCCAGCAGCAGCCTCAACCAGGGACTCTTTGCAGCCGTGTGCTCTCTCCTTTCACTCCTTTTCCCAACCCAAACTATGTAACCAATCCCCCAATAAAGACTAATCAAATTGTAACTTTAACTTCTCCAGACTGATACTTTGTGTCCCTTTCTTGCCTGAAACTGTAAAAAAATGCATGAAAATAACTTTTTCTGGTCCACGGGAGACCACAGCCCTGCCTGGGATGCCATCCTGGTGTCCTAGGGAGGCCGAATCTGCATTCCTTCAAACCGCGGATACCGAAACCCCTCAAGCCCCCCATATCTGCGAGTTGATGGATCGACTCCATTTTGGTGCTGTTGCAATCCAGAGCAGGGAACGAGGCCCTAAGATAACTATCCACCACACTTGGCTGTGAAAAACAATCCTTTTTTATTGAAGAAAAATGGTTACAAAATAAAGGAAAAATGCAAGTCAAAGCCACAGCAAAATCAGCAAACATGAATTTAAATGGACAAAGCAAAACCAAAAGCCTCACTGTGAAATACTGGAACCTGTTAGCAATCCACTAACCGTACTTGATATCCTAGAAATCTTCCCAAACTATGGCCAGGGAACCGGGAGAACTGCCAAGGTCTTCATCAATTCTGAAACAATGCCTGAACTGAGACAATCAGCCCGGCGTATTGCAATTAAAACTCAAGAATTGGTTCCGTGAACCGCCCTTCTTTTTTGAAGCCAATGTTTTTAATTCTTGAATTCGGGAGGATCGACGCAAACTGAGTGATTTACTTCTGTCTTCCCAAATTTGGCCCCTTCTGTTGTCATTACAGTTAACAGGTGCAGAAGGGAGGGAGAGTTCAAGGTCTCCCTCTGAAACATTCTCAGGAACACTGGTACTTTCATTTTCCAAATCTACAGAAGTTCCTTCCTCACTAATTTCAGGAACATTGGCATTTTCCAAACCTACAGCAGTTTCTTCCTCACTAATTTCAGGAACATTGGCATCAAAAGGTACATTTCCACTAGCATCAGTAAATATACTTTCATTAGCATCAGGAGGAACAAACAGAGAATCAGGTTCAAGTTCAAACTCAGGCTGAACCCCAACAGGTGCCATATTTTTCCTAGCTAATTTCTAACACTATCTGCTATCTCGCTTTTTTGCATTTCGGGCCTCTACGCTCAGGGAATAACCTTTTGAGTTTTAAGAATATTTTAAAAGGGAAAACAGCTGATTGTCAAAATCCAAGCCTAGCTGCTGCTGCGCTGCTCTCACTGCTTCTGTGTCCTTTGGAAGGCGCTGAACGGACTGCTCTCTGGCAGCACCAGATGCAGAGCCAACCTTCGGAAATGGGGCCACAAAGTGGAGTCCACGACATGCGAGTGCGGAAAGGAGCAAACCGCTGACCACCTGCTGCAATGCAACCTGAGCCCTGCCACATGATGCACCAGGGAGGACCTCCTTGCGGCAACACCAGAGGCACTCCAAGGGGACAGAGACTGGTCAAAGGACACTTAATCAACTACCAAGTTTGCAAACTTTGTGTTTTGTCTGTTTGTTTGCTTGCTGTAATACAAATGTCTGGTTGCTCCTGACATGATAAATAAACAAATAAATAATTTTGATGACAACCTCTCTATTAGGTCAACTGGTTTGTTTGTTTGTTTGTTTGTTTGTATTTGTGATTATTCTCCATGAATGGCTCCGCACCAGTTGCACGGATGGCCTCCTTTTCGTTGACGACAGGTTCACTGCGATCTCTGGCTGCTTCGTTAGCACTGTTGGATTGACGCTTCTCTGAATCCCGACGAAATGGGTTATTTTAGAGCTCAGGTATCGGATGCTGGGAGAGGGTAAAAGCTCACCTGGCTTTATGCCCCCCCTCCCCGCCTTCCCTTGTAATTCCCCACCTGCGGCACAGAGATAAGCCGCGCAGGTGATTTCCTGGCACCGATGGAGAGATTGGCTCAAAGGTCAAGAGGGAAGGAGAATCTCTTCCTTGTAGCAGAAGGCAAGGCTGGGCTTCCTGGATGGTTTGGCCCTGAAAAGGCTAACAAAGGGGAAATATATTCCTCGTACCTCTTGCATTGCCCTCACGGGTTGGACTACGTGCTCTTTGGGGTGCTATGTTTCCTGTTATGGGGATGCTCCAGCTTCCTCTTTCAAAGGAAGAGCTGCCCTTAGAGACTGTGAAACCAGCTACTCAGCGGACAGATGGGCTCCTTTGGAGTGGGCTGGACTAGATGCCCTCTGGGGGTCCCCGAGAATATTAGAGTTTTGGAAGGGGCTTCCAAAGGCCATCCAGTCCAAGCTCATCAAACAGTGGGAAGAACTTTCCAATGGGCTCCTTTGAAAGGGGTTGTTGTTATTATTATTATTATTATTATTATTACTACTACTACTACTATTGGCTACAGGCTACTCAAAGTGCAGAGGGATGGGCTCCTTTAAAAGGGATTATTATTATTTGGAAGGGATTGTTGTTGTTGTTGTTGTTGTTATTATTATTATTATTGGCCAGAGCTGTTTGACACCAGAGTCCAGTGGAGTCTCCTTCTTGGATGCTTTCAAGCAGAGGTTGGATGGCCATCTGTCAGGGTCGATTGGATTGTGTTCCTTGCTTGGCAGAGAGGGGGGGTGGACTGGGTGGCCTTTAGGGGTCTCTCCTAACTATGATTCTATGATTCTCTAAGGCGTGGCTTGGCTTGTGCTTTCCCTGTGTGGGTTGGACTAGATGCCCTTTGGGTGTCCCAACTTTATGCGTCTAAGATTCTCCAATTCTGTCCCATCTCCAAACACTTTGGATTACAACAGAGATGCCACATAAAGGACACAGGCTTGGAGTGTGCTTTCCCTGCAGGGGTTGGACTAGATGCCTTTCGGGGGTCCCCCCCAAGAATATTAGAGTTGGGAGGGGCTTCCAAAGGCCATCCGCCCAACCTCAGCAAAGAGTGGGAAGAGCTTCCCAACGGGCTCCTTTGGAAGGGGTGGTGGTTGTTGTTGTTATTATTATTATTATTATTATTATTATTATTATTATTGGCCAGAGCTGTTTGGCACCAGAGTCCAGTGGAATCTCCTTCTTGGATGCTTTCAAGCAGAGGTTGGATGGCCATCTGTCAGGGTCGATTGGATTGTGTTCCTTGCTTGGCAGAGAGGGGGGGGTTGGACTGGGTGGCCTTTAGGGGTCCCTCCTAACTATGATACTATGATTCTCTAAGGATACATGGCTTGGCTTGTGCTTTCCCTGTGGGGGTTGGACTAGATGCCCTTTGGGGGTCCCTTCCAACTTTATGCATCTAAGATTCTCCAATTCTATCCCATCCCCAAACACTTTGGATTACAACAGAGATGCCACATAAAGGACACATGGCTTGGAGTGTGCTTTCCCTGCAGGGGTTGGACTAGATGCCCTTTGGGGGTCCCTTCTAACTGTGATTATAGGATTCTCTAGCTCACCCTCAAATATTTTGGATAACAACAAAGGTGCCACATAAGGACACATTGCTTGGCTTGTGTTTTCCCTGCAGGGGTTGGACTAGATGCCCTTTGGGGGTCCCTTCCAACTTTATGCTTCTAGGACTCTCCAATTCTATCCCACCCCAAACACTGTGGATAACAACAAAGGTGCCACATAAGGACACACTGCTTGGCTTGTGCTTTCCCTGCAGGGGTTGAACTAGATGCCCTTTGGGGGTCCTTTCTAATATGATGATTATAGGATTCTCTATCCCATCCCCAAACACTTTGGATTACAACAGAGATGCCACATAAAGGACACAGGCTTGGAGTGTGCTTTCCTTGCAGGGGTTGGACTGGATGACCTTTGGGGATCCCCTCCAACATGATGATTATAGGATTCTTTATCCCATCACCAAATACTTTGGATTACAACAGAGATGCCACATCAGAACACATTGCTTCAATTGTGCTTTCCTTGCCTGGCAGAAAGGGGTTGGACTAGATGGCCTTTGGGGCTCCGTTTGAACTTTATGATTGTGGGATTCTCCAATTCTGAACCATCCCTAAGAAGTCTCTATCCCATCCTCAAATACTTTGGATTACAACAGAGATGCCACATAAAGGACACATGGCTTGGAGTGTGCTTTCCCTGTGCGGGTTGGACTAGATGCCCTTTGGGGGTCCCTAACAACTTTATGCTTCTTGAGTTCTCCAATTCTATCCCATCCCCAAATACTTTGGATAACAACAAAGATGCCACATAAGGACACATTGCTTGGCTTGGGCTTTCCCTGCAAGGGTTGGACTAGATGACCTTTGGGGGGTCCCCCCCAACATGATGATTATAGGATTCTCTATCCCACCCTTAATACTTTGGATTGAAACAGAGATCGCACATCAGGAGAAGTTGCTTGGATTGCGCTTACGCTGCCTGGCAGAAGGGGGTTGGACTGGATGGCCTTTGGAGACCCCTTCTAACTTTACGATTATAGGATTCTCTATCCCAGTGTTTCTCAACCTTCCTAATGCTGCAACCCCTGAATACAGTCCCTCATGTTGTGGTGACCCCCAACCATAGCATTTTTGTGCCTACTTCATAACTGTCCTTTTGCTCCTGTTATGAATCATAATGTAAATATCTGATATGCAGGATGTATTTTCATTCACTAGACCAAATTTGGCACAAATACCCAATATGCCCACATTTGAATACTGGTGGGTTTAGGGGGGAGAATGATTGATTTCGTCATTTGAGAGTTGTAGTCGCTGGGATTTATAGTTCACCTATAATCAAAGAGCATTCTGAACTCCACCAACGATGGAATTAAACTTGGCACACAGAACTCCCATGACCAACAGAAAATACTGGAAAGATTTGGTGGGTATAGCCCTTGAGTTTGGGAGTTGTAGTTCACCTACATCCAGAGAGCACAAACAATGATGGATCTGGACCAAATTTGGCACAGATACTCCATATGCCCAAATGTGAACAGTGGTGGAGTTTGGGAAAAGTCGACCTTGACACTTGGGAGTTGTAGTTGCAGGGATTTATAGTTCACTTAAATCAAAGAGCATTCTGAACATCACCAATGATAGAATTGGGACAAACCTCCCACACAGAATCCCCATGACTAACAGAAAATACTATGTCTTATCGTGGTCTTTCGTGACCCCTTTGATACCCCCTCACGACCCCTCTAGGACCCTCAGGTTGAGAAACACTGCTCTATCCCATCCTTAATCCTTTGGATTGAGACAGTGACTGGACATAAGGAGACATTGCTTGGACTGTGCTTACTCGGCCTGGCAGAAGGGGGTTGGACTGGATGACCTTTGGGGGTCCCTCCCAACTTTATTCTTCTAGGATCCCCCAATTCTATCCCAACAGAGGTGGCACATCAGAAGACATTGCTTGGATTGTGCTTTCCGAAGGGGCTGGACTGGATGACCTTTGGGGATCCCCTCCAATTCTATCCCAGCAAAGATTGCACATCAGAAGACATTGCTTGGATTGTGCTTTCCGAAGGGGCTGGACTGGATGACCTTTGGGGATCCCTTCCAATTCTATCCCAGCAAAGATTGCACATCAGAAGACATTGCTTGGATTGTGCTTTCCGAAGGGGCTGGACTGGATGACCTTTGGGGATCCCTTCCAATTCTATCCCAGCAAAGATTGCACATCAGAAGACATTGCTTGGATTGTGCTTTCCGAAGGGGCTGGACTGGATGACCTTTAGGGGTCCCTTCCAACTCTGGGATGCTATGAAGTCCCCCCCCCCCGGTCCCCTCCCCTCCCTGGGCGTGTCACTCACCATGAGGCCCCCTCCTACGATCCCCCCCAGGAGCCAGACCTGGAGGGTGATGCCGTCGGGGGTCCACTTGCGCTCTGCGTTGGGGAACATCAGCAGGACGTTGGCCACAATGCAGGCCAGGCCCGAGGCCATCAAGGTCAGGCCCACCAGCCGGGCGCAGACCCCCGTACACATGACGACGGCAGTGGCAGTGGCAGTGGCTGCGATGGGTGCCCAGGCGCCTTGTTTGCTCTCCGATAAGCCGGGCAAAGGGCGCCACTCCCCGCGCACTTCCTGGGCCCCTCTTCCTCCTCCTCTTCCTCTTTCAAGTCACAGCAACACCTGCAAGGATTGTCCCACGGCCTCAGCACTCAGGCCATCACCGCTCAAGCAGGGAGCTTGGAGATGGTAGAACAAAAGCTCTCTGAAGCTCTAGGTGCTTTCAGAGGAAACCTGCTACAGAACAGGAGCTTTTTTGTTGAGTTCCAGGGCCAGAGAAGCAGGTGGCAGAAACGGAAGAACGGCCTGCCTCAGGGGAGCGTGCTTGCCCCATCCATGTTCAACATCTACACAAATGACCAGCCACTGCCAGAAGGGACAGAGAGTTTCATCTATGCTGATGATCGTGCCATCACCGCTCAAGCAGGGAGCTTTGAGATGGTAGAACAGAAGCTCTCCGAAGCTCTAGGTGACCTTAACTGCCTATTACAGGGAAAACCAGCTGATCCCTAATCCATCTAAGACACAGACATGTGCCTTTCATCTCAAGAACAGACAAGCACCCCGAGCTCTGAGGATTATCACCTGGGAAGGAATCCCACGGGAGCATTGCAGCGCACCCAAATACCTGGGAGTCAGTCTGGACCATGCTCTGACGTACAAGAAGCACTGCCTGAACATCAAACAAAAAGTGGGTGCTAGAAACAATATCATACGAAAGCTGACTGGCACAACCTGGGGATCACAACCAGACACAGTGAAGACATCTGCCCTTGCGCTATGCTACTCTGCTGCTGAGTATGCATGCCCAGTGTGGAACACATCTCACCACACTAAAACAATGGATGTGGCTCTTAATGAGACATGCCGCATTATCACGGGGTGTCTGCGCCCTACACCACTGGAGAAATTACACTGTCTAGCCAGTATTGCACCACCTGACATCCACCGGGAAGTGGCAGCCAATAGTGAAAGGACCAAGGCAGAGACATCTCCAGCCCATCCCCTGTTTGGGTATCAGCCAGCATGTCAACGACTTAAATCAAGACATAGTTTTCTAAGATCTACAGAGACACTTGCTGGAACACCCCAGCAAGCGAGAGTCCAAAAGTGGCAGGCTCAAACCCATGGCTGATACCAGATGAGAGACTCCCACCTGGGCACACAGAGGACTGGGCAACTTGGAAGGCGCTGAACAGACTGCGCTCTGGCACCACGAGATGCAGAGCCAACCTTCAGAAATGGGGCCACAAAGTGGAATCCTTGATATGCGAGTGCGGAGAGGAGCAAACCACTGACCACCTTCTGCAATGCACCCTGAGCCCTGCCACATGATGCACAAGGGAGGACCTCCTTGCAGCAGCACTAGAGGCATTCCAAGGGGCCAGAGACTGGTCAAAGGACATCTAATCAACTACCAAACTTGCAAATTTTGTGTTTTCTCTGTTTGTTTGTTTTGTTCTGTTAGAAATGTAATATAATTGACTGGATGATCTGACACGACAAACAAATAAAGCACCAGGCCGGTCCTCAGGCCAGAAAGGGGTGGACTAAGTGGCCTCTGGGGTCCCCGCCTGCGTTAGGACCCTGCCTGGCCCTGCAATGCAAGGGACCCCAAGTCTACCTGCAAGGGATGGTTGGAAGGAGGAAGTGGCGGAGGCGCTCCTGGCTGTGCATTCCTCGCCTTGTGCAATGGGGATGTTGACAGGTGACGCCAGGGCACAACTCCCACAACTTGCCCCATTCTTCTCCAGATGTTGCAGGAAAGAGTCTCCAAAGGGTGGGCAAAAGGGCCTTTTGGGACTGCCGCCCCCCTAATTTGGTGCAGCAGTGCAAAAGGAAGACCCTTCCCCTTGAAATCCCAGGGATGGGAGGCCAAGTTCCAGAGGAAGGACATGGCAGAGCCATCTTCTTTGCCTCAAGGACCACTTTGCAAATCCATGGAGCTGCCACCCGTCACCTCCTTCCCTGGGGGGCCAAATAAAAGAATGAATCCTAAGCCTGTTTCTGCCCCGGGCAGCAGGCCCTCAGCCTTGGGAGAAAGGCCAGGAGGGAATGCTGCTGGAACGTGGCCAGTCAGCCTGGAAAACTCACAGCAACCCAGTGATTCCAGCCCTCCAAGCCTCTGGAATCCCAATTGGTGGTGAATCTGGCTGGTACATAAAGACACATTGCTTGGCTTGTACTCTCCCTGCAAGGGTTGGACTGGATGACCTTTGGGGGTCCCTTCTAACATGATGATTATAGGATTCTCTATCCCATCCTCAATAGTTTGGATTGAAACAGAGATCGCACATAAGGAGACGTTGCTCTTTGCAGATAGACAAGGAACCTGAGGATGATCTGGCCTGGGCAGCCGGTCCGAGAGCAGAGTCCAGGTCCAGGGCCTTGAGAGGTCAGCCCTGGTCATCAATAAGCCCTCTGTGACACCACCATTTGTTACAACTCAGAGGGAGGGAGGGAAGGAAGGAAGGAAGGAGGGAGGGGTAGAAGGGAGGGAGGGAGGAAGGAACAAAGATAGAAGGATGGAAGGAAGGACAGAAGGAAGGAAGGAAGAAGGAAGGAAAAGGAAGGAAGGAAGAAGGAAGGAAGGAGAAAGAGAATGGAGGGGGAGGGACGGAAGGAAGGAAGGAAAGGAGAGGGAGAAAAGAAGGAAGAAGAAGAAGGAAGAAGGAAGGAGGAAGGAAGGAAGAAGGAAGAAGAGGATAGAAGGAAGGAAGGAAAGGAGGAAAGGAAGAAGGAAGGGAAGGAAGAGGGAGGAGGGAGGGAGGGAAGGAGAGGAAAGAGGGAGGGAGGGAGAAAAGAGGAAGGAAGGAAGGAAGGAAGGAAGGAAGGAAGGAAGGAAGGAGAAGGAAGAAGAAGAAGGAGGAAGGAAGAGGAAGGAAGGAAGGAGGAAGGAAGGAGAAGAGAGAAGAGAAGGAAGGAAGAAGGGAGGGAGGAAGGAAGAAGGGAAGGAAAGGGAGAGGGGAGGGAGGGAGGAAAGGAAGGAAGAGGGAGGAGGAGAAAAGAAGGAAGGAAGGAAGAAAGGAAAAGGAAGGAAGGGAAAAGAGGGAGGGAGGGAGGAAGAAGAAGGAGGAAGGAAGAAGGAAAGGAAGAGGAGGGGGAGGAGAGGAAGAAGAAGAAGGAAAAGAAGGAAGGGAAGGGGAAGGAGGAAGAGAAGAGGAGGAGGGAGGAGGAAGAGGAGGAAAGGAAAGGGGAGGAGGAAGAAGAAGGAGGAAGGAGAAGGAAAAAAAAGGAGGAAGGAAGAGGAGGAAGAAGGAAGAAGAAAGGGAAGGAGGAGGGAGGGAGGGAGGAAGGATAGAAGGAAGGAAGGAAGGAAGGAAGGAAGGAAGGAAGGAAGGAAGGAGGGAAGGAAGGAAGGATAGAATGAGCAAGGAAGAAAGGAGGGAGGGAGGGAGGAAGAAGGATGGAAGGAAGGATAGAAGGGAGGGAGGGAGGATAGAAGGAAGGAAGGAAGGAAGGAAGGAAGGAAGGAAGGAAGGAAGGAAGGAAGGAAGGAAGGAAGGAAAGCCCTCAGTGCGTATGGCTCTGGAAGGAGAGGCTGGCAGGTGGGCAAGCAGGCTGCCCTCCCAATTATGGCAATCTTCTGCTGCCCCTTTAAGAGCTATGACCCATTCAATGCAATCCTGGGATTTGTAGTATAGACCCCTTCCTTTGGAGCAATCCAGCAGCGAAAGCTCTGAGCTCCTTGTCAAATTTTTTCCATGATCCTATTAAATGTCTGAAAGGACGCCACGAGGAAGAGGAAGCAGGCCTTGTTTTCTGCCTCTGAGTGTGGTGGAAGCTCCTTCTTTGGGGGTCTTTAAGCAGAGGCTGGGTGGCCATCTGTCTGGGGTGCTTTGATTGTGCCTTTCCTGCAAGGCAGGGGGTTGGACTAGATGAGCCATGTGGTCTCTTTCAAATTTAGGATTCTCTCATCATCATCATCATCATCATCTGAGACTATATGGCCATCTATCAGAGGTGCTCTGATTGTGCTTTTCCTGCACAATGGCAGAACAGGGTTGGACTGGATGGCCTTTAGAGGTTCCCTTCCAACTCTATTATGCTAACATTGGAGGAACATTGGCGGGAAGAGGCCTCAGTGTCCCCTATGTCAGGGGCCTTGGGAGGGTGTACCTAATACCTGTGTGTATGTGGACCCCCAAGGTGTGACACACCCCTGATGCAAATGACCACAGGTGAAGCTACCAGAAACAGGGAGGTGGCGCTTTATTTCCTGGGGCCCTTGTGGCCCCTCTTCCTCCTCCGGCCTTCCTGGCTCACTTGCGCCTTCGTCCGGAGGCACGGACCTGCCTCTTCTTGCGCCGGGCTCCGCGGGGCCCCTCGGGGGGCTTGGGGTTCCTGTGGGCTGGAGGGGGAGCCACAGGAGGGGGGCCCTGGACGTTGGGGCCGCTGGCGCTGGGGGCCCCGGGGGCCTGGCGGTGGTTGCTGGCCGAGGCCTTGTAGATCAGGTGGAAGAGGAAGGCGTTGGAGTACCTGGGCAGGAAAGCAGGGAGGGTGCAGGTGAGGCACAAGGCAAGGCAAGGCAAGGCAATTACATGCAAGGCAAGACAAGCAAGGCATGGCATGCAATGCGATGTGATGCATGCAGAGTAAGGCAATTAATGCAATGGTAGCAAGGTAGGAAAGGCAATGCAAGCAATGCAGGAAAGGAAAGCAAGGCAAGGCAATGCAAGCAATACAAGGCATGCAATGCAATGCAACACAAGCAAGGTAAGGCATGCAATGCGATGTAATGCATGCAGAGTAAGGCAATTAATGCAATGGTAGCAATGCAGGAAAGGAAAGCAAGGCAATGCAATGCAACCAATACAAGGCATGCAGTGCAATGCAACACAAGCAAGGCAAGGCATGCAATGCATGCAAAGTAAGGCAAGCAATGCAGTGGTAGCAATGCAGGCAAGGCAATGGAAGCAATGCAGGAAAGGAAAGCAATGCAAGGCAAGGCAAGTGAAGGCAAGGCAATGCAAGCAATGCAATGCAATGCAATGCAATGCAAGCAATAGAAGGCAAGCAATGCAAAGAAAGGCAAGCAATGCAATGCAATGCAATGCAATGCAACACAAGCAAGGCAAGGCATGCAATGCATTCAAAGTAAGGCAAGCAATGTGATGGTAGCAATGCAGGCAAGGCAATGCAAGCAATGCAGGAAAGGAAAAAAT